AATAAAATGGCATTTATAGTTTTACTGACTTAATAATTACTGTTATTTGAACTATGCAGGAGTAAAGTTCATGAATGGTTGTTCTTTCCTATAGGAATTTGTAAAACTATGTTGGGTGCACCCTTAATATAGCATTTACAGTTTTACTGATTTACTGTTTCTCTAGGGGGATTCGGGGGCATGCTCCCCCGCAAGAAAATTTTGTTCATTTTAAGGTTAAATGCATCAATCTCGTGCTCTTTGAGAGATCAAAATGAAGAGCTTCAACCCACGAACTGCTCGTTGAAAAAGAAAACGCATTGATTTGTACCAGGACAATAAACAGGGCTCAAACATCTTTTTAGTTGAGTCTCAGTCTACATTACATTATCAATGGTGTTTTAGGATCCCAAACAATTATTATAATAATGTAATAATGATTTATATAATTATTCCTATGACGTAAAATCCACAAAGCTTATAAATGTACTATATAAATGAAAATGAATATTTCAAAAGTAGCCTATATTTTAGTCTACATTACACTATAATATAGGAGAATTAAAATACTTTTGTCCTTATTTCTTCACTTGCAAGAAATAAACCCTTGAGCTTGTATTTAGGAGAAAACACCAGATGACCATGATGATTGCGTGAGGAGAGTGCACACTTTTCTTTATTCACCCAGCACTAACAGGATGCCTATTCTTAAAGTCTTGTGCTGTTTTATAGAGGCAAAAATCCATATCATGGTTTCGATTTTATTTCATTGGCAAAATATAATGCTAGAGACCTATGTTACTGTAGGTTATGTCATTTTACATCTCATATGTGTTGGGAAAAGGGAGAAGAGACTTCGGCAAAAGGCGGATTCGAACTCGCATCGAGCGCATGAAAAGCTGATTCACACGCTTTGCGCTACGACTTACGCCACTTCAGCTGTGACATGACTGGCATCTTTTTTTTCATAAAAGACAGGCACTTATAGTTTCGTTTTATCAAACCGTCCCTCACGGCCTCGAAACAGGTCCTAATGGTCAATCCGACCCTGAAAGCGTAAACATCCAACGCACATGGCACCCTTTAGCATCAATATAACACGCTTTGGTTATGGGTAGGATTAGGTCTGGGGTAGAGTTAAGGTTAGACCACTAGGAGGCACCTTCTGCCCCATATACTGTATATCTGCTGCATCTCATATTGACGCTAAAGGGTGCCATGTGCATTGGATGTCTACGCTTTGGCAAAAGCATTGTATATGACGCCTGTGTCCAGAGGCAAATGAGCAATTAATATGAGCATCACAGATTGGTTTCAGCAACTTCTAATATGTTTATTTAATTCAATTCAAATGTTCACTCATGAAGACAGTCACTTGTCGTCACCTACTGACTTAATGATGCAAGTCGGCCAAACACTCCCAATGCTGATACTGGTGAAATATAACATATTCAAGGACCATATAAAATATTATGATATTTATTTAAATGTGTTCATTAAAGGCTAAAATCTTTCCATTATGTTGTTGATTTTGAATTATAGCCTAATAAATGTGACTCAGCTAACAGTTTTTGTAAAAGTACATGTTTTACTCAGTTCACTCCTATTGAGCATGAAGACCTTATTGTGTCTGGTAATTTCTACTTGCAAAAACCCTTGATGACAAATCTTAAGGTACAGCCGACTTTCATCCATCATTTAAGGCTGTGTCTGAGAACTGTCCCTCCATTTGTCATACAAAGAAAAAAAAGTGAAGGAACTAAGTCATTAATTCATAACTTGTATCCTTGCTGGGTTTCTTTGCCATTCGCTGCTTTATCCAGGCGGCGGGAAACACGCAGATCTTTTTGACGCGTTACAGTTGTGAGGAAGGCTTTTCCAGTCACATGGCCTGGATGGTTGAGCATTCCTTGCATTTTCTCTTTTCAATCCAGCCATTCCACACAACAAAAGATCAATTGTGTGGACACCGTAGTAGCATGAGCGAGCTTCCATCTCTATTCCCATCACTGAAGACAGTCTTACTCTCGTCTTTTGGTTAGTTGTTGAGTGTGATGTGTACATACCGGTACAACACTGCTGCATTCTGTCCAGACTGACATCTATTTCTGGAGTTACATGGTATTGTTTCATCAGTAAATAAATATATATTCATAGATATAGGCAGTATACAGTTGTTTGCCCCTGCTGACAGCTCTGGTTTAGTACAGCTATTGCCTGTCAACATCTCCTCTGTGCTTTCATAGGCTACACCCTTAGACATTTTAAACCAGCTTGAACAATGAGGAAAAGCAAGTCGCTGATTCACTCTTTCAGATTCTTTTCGGGTAAGAACATGTCCTACATCAATGAGAACAATGCTACTCACGTTTATTTTGTGGATCTATATTCCACACACCTGACACAGCTGATAAATGTGCTATAGACATATTGGTATCCAGCAAACACCCATTTCTAAAGTACAAAAATGTGCTATAGACATATTGGTATACAAACACCCATTTCTAAAAGTACAAAAATGTGCCTATTGGTATCGAGCAAACACCCCTTTTCTAAAGTACAAGCAGTGTGCAGTCATTTGTATTAAAATGAGACTTTGTCCCGTGAGCTGCTGATTTCAATGCATTCCTAAGGAGCAACTTGATGACTCTGTTTAACTACATTTTGCGAAACAGCTCGTATGGCATTTCTTTGTTACTCTCTTGTGATTGTGACACTTGTACTTATACTATGTTATCGGAGATTTGTGGTTTCCCATGTATATAGCTTTTCATGTATATAGTTGACTTGCCAACATCAACGTCAATGGTTTTGGGGCTTTTTGCATTCAAAAATTGTATAAACGTGTTCTTTGTGGGCTTTTGCCTTCATCAATCGGGCAGTATAGAGCTTTAATGTTTCACGAGAATAAGAACAAAACTGCCTTCCAATAGAATATAGTAAATGTTCAACATAGGCAATGTGATAGACTCAAGAGATCTTTAACAGGGGGTCTGCACATTTTGTCGACCAATCCTCAAAATGCAAGAATTCAGAGAGTTTAATTTTCTCTTCACAATATGTAAACTGACCCAACAAACCATTAATAATAAATCATATAAATTCATGAATGTATACATCTCTGAGTCCACCAAGGGTGTCATTGAGATGAAAAAAAAAAACATTCAGACACTCAATTTAAAAAATGATGCTTGGAAAATGGATTTGTTTTGTTGAAAGGGTAACATTGCCCCCTTCTGGTGACGAGGCTAAAAAATTAAGCCTACTGACAGAAGTCCATTTGATTCACAAATAATATAAAGATGTGATTTTGTACTGTAACCAAATATTACTTCATTAGGTGCCTTAAAGGGATAGTTCACCCCAAAATGTTAATGTAAACTTACTCACCACCTCAAGTGGTGGGAGTTTTTCTCTTCTGTTCAACACAAATAAGTTATTTTGATACAGTAAATGTTTGTAACCAGACAGCTGACGGTAACCATTGACTTTCATAGTGGGGAAAAAAACTAATTCTGTGGAAGTCAGTGGGTTCCAATAATTGTTTGATTGCCAGCATTCTTTATGACATGACAACATTTTTGGGTGAACTATCTCTTTAAGGTGTTAAGTAAAAAAGCATTTCAAATCAAGTTGAAAGGGTCATTAAAAAGGTAAGAATTATATTAAGCATTTAAGCTCTCTCAACAGTTATATTAACATAATTTGTTGAAAAATATCTATATTTGTTGAAATATACAACTAAAACCATAAAAAAAAACATTTCCGTAACTTAAAATAATCATTATCTGATATAAAATATATAAAAAACTAAAAGAAACAACATTTTAGATGGTTGCAAACTAAAGGCAACATTTTTCGTTTGCATATAGTTGAACTTGATGTACTAAAATAACACAAAAATATATAAGTATAAAAACTATATAAACATAATTTAAAAACAAACTTATAAAAATGACAACACACGCAGAAAACTAACTAACACAATTTAACCATAAAACAGGCAAGGGTGGAAAATGATCATCAAATAAATTATTTCATGCCACTTTTAATATCATCTGGACTTAAGTAAAACATATCCAATTGGAATTTTTGAAATATTTGATTTTATGAGTTGGGATACTCCAGGATACTTTGCCCCATTAGGGTGTAAAAAAAAAGGCCCACGCCAATGTTTCTGATTTATTTGATGCAAAAAATAAAAATAAAAAATGCTGCATGTAATATGCTGCATGTATGACATGTCTAAGAGTCCTACAATTGAGACATTTACATTTCTTACATTTGTTCACTGCTGAACAGTTTTGTCTTCAACCTCAGTTGTGGGAAACTCAAGCCCTTGAGGTCCACTGTCCTGCAGGCATTCTTAATCAAACATATAATGTGATTTATGATACAACTTTAAAGTGAACTTTTGTATGATAATTTTAAAGTAACCCTAAAGACTTAAGTTAGACTTTACAGGTGTGTTTGTTAATCTGGTAACGTAGCCTATCTCAGGGGATAGGCTACATACATTTCAAAATATGGTAAATAACAGCATGATCAACATATGACTTAATTTTCAATTTTAACATCTTAAGACAATCTTTACAATTAATATTAGCAGTTGTATTGTATTTTTTAGAAAAAAGTCAGATTAATATATGCCTACATTACACTAAGTCAGAACGTCCACTATGGGCAGACATGTTGGCTTTAGGTCAAACTGACAAAATGAACACAGCAAATTTGAACCAAGTCATGTGACCCACATACTCAACTATGATTGACAACAGCACTGGATGAAAAATGATTTATCGTGCACCCTACAAGAAACTAAAGATAAGAATAATGTGGTACACATTGTTGTTTTAGGGTTAAAATGAAAATATAAAATTAAAAACTAATTCAAAATATTAATAAGAAGTATAAATTAAAATAATTAATAATAATTTGTAACATTAATATTGCACTTTCTCAGCACTCAAAGTGTTTTACACAGATAACTAGTTTTAAACAAACGCCAAACATTCACAAAGTTTTGTTTTCCTCCAGGTTATACAGGAATCTTTATTTGAATTATCATCTGATTTACAACAATTCCAAGCAGACAAGTGTGGCATGAAAACAACCACACAGTAAACGGTTATATTTCCACATTATTATAATTGACAAGAAATCTGCCTTATATCAGCACTTCATGATGCTCTGCTGAACAGATTTCCTTCAGTGGTCCCGAAGATACACGATGATTTATCTGATGTGTGACGAACCCCACTTCATAAGCCTCAAAGCAGCACGATTCTATTAAAACATGGTTCAAATAGAATCAAAATAGAGTACTATCACGTACTTTGCAATTAATGACAGCTGATTCTCTCACCTTTTAGTTTTTTAATGTATAGTATTTCATTTTGGACCGATGTAGGTAACAGTTTTCCCAGTCTTTTTCAGTGTTTCCAGAAGAACATCTGTGTCTTTGTCTGACTCAATGAAGACCTTCTTATTGGGGAGATCAATGTCAAACTTGACATCTGTTAAAAATAAATAAATAAATAAATAAAAAACACACAACTTTACTATGAACCATGACAAAGACTTAAAGGGGCAATGCCCACAAATGAAAAGGCAGATCTAATTAAGAAGAAAAGAAACTTCTTCGAAAGAATTAAAGAAAAAATTAAACCAATGTAATTTCACTTTCACATTCATCTGGTTTATAGCTTTACAGGTTAATACACACGGTTAAAATGACTTACAGGAGTAGACTGTTTGAAATATGAAATATTTAAATGCCTACCCAGTTTTTTAAGCACTCGAGTTACTGCACCAGAGCATCCCTCACATGTCATGTCAACAAAAAACTCGTGAGTCTGTCCGTGAGAGAAGAAAACATCTTTGATTCAATTCTAAGAGAGAATCACAAGCTAGCTACAAAGCTAAGTGTCTGAGAAGTTATCTTTTTAAATAAGTGATTTACGATATCCAGATATCTGCAGCAAACTATAAACTGATCTTTGTGAGTTACATTTTTTGATTAAATGTGAAATTACCGTCATGATCGATCCGATTGTCCCTACCAGCTCAAAAGTCTACAGATTCCTTTTTGCAGGGACTTGCTGCACATATGATGACGCGTTGTTTAGTTTAGGGCTTATCACTAAATTACTAATATTTCTGACGAAAAGCTTTCAATTGAAACAGCAACTAAACGTACATATTTCCACTCAAAGGGCGCATGTTGCGAGACTCTTCTATAATAGATATCACGTTTGTGTTACGGTTAACGTTACAAGCAACGAGTTACTTTTCATACAATGTACAAGCGTTTTAAAAACGTAAAAACGTACAATAAACAATTGTACATGATCCCTTTTGATCAACGCTCCATCTGTAGGGATAATAATAATAGCAATACTAGCCTACTAATAAAAAAAGCAAGCAAACAAACAAATAAATAAAATAAATAAATAAGAAATAATGAAATACAAAAAAAAAATAATGCTAAATCATACCGAATGTGAGTGTTTCGGCTTTTTTACGTATAATTTACGTTGCCAAAGGCATAACATGGGATGTGGATAGAATTTAAGAGTTAAACTCTTTATTTTCAAAAAAGAAAGACACATTAACGTTAGTCATGTTTGTTGTTTTGCTCTGTACCACAGACTGTAAAGGCAGAAGTGATATCAGCTGACCGCCACGTGTTGATGGTCATGTGACAACAGCAGCAATGGGTAGGACGCGTTGCGTTGTATTGCGTTGCGTTGCGTCGCGTGACGCGTCGCAGCAGAATCAGATCTCAGCGGATAGGACTAGGAGCACAATTCGGACATCAGGCAGCAGATTCGGATCAGATCATGTTTGCTCATCTGTTCGCGTCTGTGCTGATAGCATATCCGGGTTCAGATAACTTTATCATATAATATCATTCAGCTGTGCTTGCGGTAAGTCCACGTTTGTAATGTATGTACGTAGCTATGCATTAGCTAGCATAAACAGGAGACGATATCAGGTGTGACAGCATTGACAGCTGAATGCTGGCGAGAACTTCAGGACATATTGGTTATTTTTGAAAGCATTACAATTTATTACTACAGATTAGCCTACTGTTGTGAACGCTCTGAAAGAAGACAATGAAAGAAAATACACTTCAAGATTGAGTGATTTCCTAGTATTTCTTAGTGCTATTTCCTATATAATGTTATAATTATATTGTTATGCTGGTAACATTTTACATAAGGTGTCATTAGTTACCTATGTTAGTTGAACTAACATGAATTAACGACACTTCTACAATATTTATCGTTAATTTTAGTCAATGTTAATCATAACATTTACTAATACATTTTTTATAATCAAAATATTTATTTGTAATATTATGCACTGTGAACAATGAACAAACAAACAATTATATTTTACTTACTAACATTGACAAATGATTTGAAAATATATATTAGTTCATGGTAGCTAATTCATTTTACTAATGGGACGTCATTGTAAAGTAATACATAATTGCTAATACAACTTTGCTAGTCAATGTCAATGTCTTTGACAGAAAAAATCTGAAATGTTAGACTGTTTGTTGTTACAGGAGTACCAAATAAGATGAACTTACTTCTTGTTGTTTGTATTTCTTTTAAAATCATTAAACTATGGCTACAAGATGTTCCCTTAGATTTACTTAGTTGATTATGACTTATATTTAGCATCTTTTTTATGCAACCTGTCTATTAAATTTGCTTCAATAACAAGTGAAATGCATGGTCATCATGAAAGGCTTTTTTATTTTTCCATTGATCTGTTTTTATATTGATTTGACTTCTAGACAGAGGATTCAATGGGAAAAATGTTTAAGGCAACGCTTGATGACTCCAAAGTCAAACATTGATTTTACATGTGTCCTAGCATTGAACAGAGCTGCTTTGCATTGTCATATGTGGTATTCATGCTCCGTTAACTGTAGCAAAAGAGCTTTATGAGGCTATCATTTGTGGTTTAAAAATTTTAGTTACAGCTTTTACTCAGTCACTGAAGGAGTTTGCTGAATTGTCTAACATCTTTCCACATATGTGGTTGGGAACAGTTTCAAATGGTTGTGACATCTTTCTGACATACACAACTGGTATATTTCACAATCATGATGAGTATTAATATCTGAGTGTCACGTTTAACTGATGTTAGAAATATGGAACAAGCCAAAAGAATGGTCCAAAAAGTTGAGAGAAGATATCATCACCGCCCTTCACTAACAAGGATACAAAACAAAAGCGAAAGCACTAAATGTTCCTAGAGAGAGACACAGTTGGGAAGAATAGTTTGCAAGTTCAAAGTTAAAGGACCAGTGGTTACACTACCTGGACGGGACAGAAAAATTAGGCTATCAATGGCTGCAACTAGATTTCTGAGAAGGCAGGTTCAGAAAATCCATTGAGTGACTGCAAAAGACATAGGTCCTGAAGCAAGACTTGGTGGCAACAGGCACTGGGGTTTCAGCTTACACAGTAAGGCAAGTACTAAACGCATGCCGGAACTCGTTCACCACTACTGACCCAAAAGCACAAGAAAAGTCAGCTCCAATTTGCCTAAAATCATACAAATAAGCCACCGACATTTTGGGGATTCTGTTCTGTGGAGTGAAACTTTTTGGCCCTATATATCAGCGGTATGTCTGGGGGAAGGAGAATGAAGCATATGCTGAAAAGAACACCTCCTACAGTTAAGCATGGTGGGCTTGTGATCCTCTGGGGCTGCTTTGCATCCTCTGGCACTGGAAACCTGCAGCGTGTGGAGGGCAAGATGGATTCATTGAAGTATTAGGAAATCCTAGGAGAAAACATCATGCCGGCAGTGAGGAATCTGAAGCCTATGCGTTATTGGAAGCCTAGAAATCTAGACGCACCCTAGCGGCAGCAAAAATTATTTTGCAGCAAAGTGTGGTCTAGCAACTCTCCGTTGGCTTTCGAAGTGGATTAACTCTGGTCAATCACATCGTGTATAGGGTTGGTGGGCGGGCTTAACACAATGACGGCAGAGTTGTGACGGTTCTGCGCCGTGATTTCCATAGGTGATTTCCCTGCTACTTAAAAACAAACAAGATGCTGCTGGCGAACAGTGGTCTTTCGATTCGGCTTTGGCCGCGACTCTGGAGGACTTGGAGTTAAGAGAATGTCACTTAATTCATTCTTAAAAAAGGAAGATGTGTTCAGAGATATGGCAAAAGTTTAATATATCAACTTGCTCCGCTGGAGGGAAAACACATTGGATTCCCTCATCCACAGCCGTTCGTTGCTCTGGTTGGTTGTGGCGCTATCCTATTGCGTGCAGAGGGATATTGAAAGACAACCTTTTATCCCGCCCCTCGGATTGAGGTATGCCAATTGTGAGTTCCCAGACCTAACATCTTGATAGGTCTGGCTTGCCAGGCTACGTTATTGGACCTTCCAACAGGACAATGATCCCAAGCATACCTCAGATTTCACCAAAGATTTCATCACTATGACACACCCCTTACGGCATTGGTCCTGGCTTTTGTTCACACACAATGTTACCAGGTCCCCAACCCGGCATCCATGCCGGATATCAATCCCGAGTTGTATTTGCGTTCACACAGAAGGCTTTCTGGCAATTTCCCGCCAATTTCCCGGGATCAACACGCTGTGTGAAAGGGGCTTAAAGGGTTAGTTCTCCCAAAAATGAAAATTAAGTCATTAATTACTCACCCCTATGCTGTACCAACCCCGTAAGACCTTCGTTCATCTTCGGAACACAAATAAAGATTGAATCTGAGGGCTGGATCACTCTTCCATAGACTGCATAAGGGACTGGCTCTTGACGGCCCATAAAGTCATTAAAGAAAAGGTTTAAATATTCCATGTGCCTACAGCGGCTCAATTATAAGTTTATCAAGCGACGAGAATACTTTTTGTGCGAAAAAACCCATAAATAACGACTTTATTCCACTATTTCATTACTTCCTTATGGGCGCATGCGCGAAAACTGAGACGAGGACGTTCTCATTCGTCTACTTCTTGTTACCGGCTGCTCACCGCTTAGGAGTTTTACCGCCACCTACCGTATAAGATGATGTGCTGATATAGCTGGAAGCGCAAAACTTTCTGTTTACAAGCAGAGGAAGATGCGCGCTGTACATACGCTTTTCAATTTGCGTATTTTCCGCACTATAAGGTGCACTTAAAAGCCTTTAATCTTCTCAAAAAACGACAGTGTGCCTTATAATCCGGAGCGCCTTATATATGGATCATCATTTTATACGGTAGGTGGCGGTAATACTCCTAAGCGGTGAGCAGCCGGTAACAAGAAGTAGACGAATGAGAACGTCCTCGTCTCAGTTCTCGCGCATGCGCCCATAAGGAAGTAATGTAATAGTGGAATAAAGTCGTTATTTATGTTTTTTTTCGCACAAAAAGTATTCTCGTCGCTTGATAAACTTATAATTGAGCCGCTGTAGGCACATGGAATATTTAAACCTTTTCTTTAATGACTTTATGGGCCGTCAAGAGCCAGTTTAGGAAGCCTATGGAAGAGTGGTCCAGCTCTCAGATTCAATCAAAAATATCTTTATTTGTGTCCCGAAGATGAACGAAGGTCTTACGGGGTTGGAACAGCATGGGGTTGAGTAATTAATGACTTAATTTTCATTTTTGGGTGAACTAACCCTTTAAGTACTAAAGATTCTTGCCATGAAGGGGTTAAATAATTTTAAAACAGCAGAAGACATTCAACGTTACATTTTCAAATGAATTTGGGAAAACCATGCACCAAAACACATTTATCGTGTTGAGCCATTTCAATTACGTTTGTCTGATTGGTTTATTGCAAACGGCTGAAAGTCTGTACATTTTGCCAATGAATCTGATTTGCAGTGGAAGTTGAATCATTTTTATATATCTGACAATTAGACAACACTCTAATAATTCTTTCCTCATCATTTCCTCTAGATGCAAAATACAGAGTGTGGCTGTGAATGATGCAGTAGTTCATATGAGCGGCTGTGTGAAATTCTCACTGTTATTGAAGTGTCAGATATGACTAATGTTAATTGCGTTTTGCATGTTTGAAATCCTCATGTTGGTTTCAGCTCCAAGAGATGACCCAGAAAGGGCACTGTGTGCGTCATGCGTGTGTTACAGGAGGGCTATTAACTCTGTTCCTTTGTCTGTGATCACAGTTCCTGTAGATGCAGCGTCTCCGCAGGGAAGCTTTTGATCAGTGAAGCTATCAGTGGCAAATTACACCCTACCAAAGCAAACATGGCCTCTGGTATCAACTATCAGGATGGTAAACCAATTTCCTTTGCAATATGGAACAACGATTGTGACTTGATAAATGAATGAACAAACATAGGCTACACTATTGTTCAAAAAGTTTGAAGTCAGTAAGATTGTTTTTGTAAAGAAATGAATACTATAATTTTGCAAGGATGCATTCAGTTGATCAAAAGTGACAGTAAAGACATTTATGATGTTACAAAATATTACAAAATATGTTTTTGAGCTTTCTATTCATTAAAGAATCCTCAAAAACAGTGTATCGTGGTTTCCACAAAAAGCACATCTGCTTTCAACACTGATAATAAGAAATGTCAAATCAGCGTGTTTGAATGATTTCTGAAGGATCATGTGACACTGAAGACTGAAGTAATGATGCTGAATTGCTATCACATGAATAAATTGCATTTCAAAAATTTCATTAAAACCAACAGTTATTTTAAATCAAAATGGTAATTTTTTTCACAAGTTATTACTGCTTTTATGATGACTTCTTTAAAAAAATAGAAAAACATCTTGCCAACGCCAAACTTTTGAACTGTGGTGTATGTGTTTTTCTTCTTCTTTTTAATGTTTAATATTATATAAAAGCTATATCTGTGTGTTGGTCCTAGGCCCAGATTATTCTGGAAGAGACGAGAGCCCCACTGAAGATGAGCCCATCCGCTCGCCTGGTTCCCCTCGGCAGACGGAATATGAACGGATCGGAGGAAGAACAGGATCCTCGTAAGCACTGTGATCTTCGCCTATTAAAACTATTATGTTCATTGACCTATTTTAATTGTTTTGTTTTTTCCCCCAGTTTTTTTCAGACCATAATTCATTTACTAAAAGGAAATATTGGCACGGGACTGCTCGGATTGCCTCTGGCTGTCAAGAATGCAGGACTCGTGGTAGGAGAGAACATTTAATTTGGAGATTAATGCAATTATGATGTCGCGGTTTTATTTTTAACTGTTCTGGGCTTGTGTTCTGGTTTGTATCCTCATTTTGGCAGTTGTTGTCTTTGAACATGATCTATTTCAATGTCATGTCAGCCTTTTCTTTTTATTTATCTTTTGCTTCTCAGTAGATGTGTGTTATGAGTGTATTAGGAACTTCCACACCCTTTGGTTTTTGAACAGGGAACACAAACCGTAATTGTTCTTGTCTCTGTACACTACAGGCTTCTGGTTAGAGAACAGCATTTTTGTTCGCACTGACTGAGATCTGGTCTTCTTGTGGTAGAATAGGGTGTAGCAAAAAAGAACTATATTGTTTCTATAAACTATGGTATTTTTTATGAGAACAGAAACCTAAGCACATTTAGTATAAATATAAATGCAACAAATAAAACTTATGCTATATACTTGTAACAACAAATAACTGTAATATTTAATCACTCCTATTTTAAAATATTTACATATAATATAAGTATACCGCATTTCTGCCAAAATGCCATGGTTACAGTTAGTGTTACTACTATAGCAAATCCATGGTAAATATTGGTGATCAGGGCGACTTCTACAAAAGTTTAGTGTCACTGGCAAGAAAATAAAAAATAATTTAAATAAAAATGCATGCTTTTTACAGAGTTTAGGGAAACAAAAGACTAGAATTATAACATTTATTTAAAATGTAAAAAAAAATAAAACTTTAATCATTCACATTCTGGTTTCAAGATATTTGTTTTCCTTCCTCGATGTACAGAACTTTTAAAAAAAAATGGTGTCAGGAAGATTTCTGATGTTTTTATTTTGAAGAATAAATCTTTTTTTCATAGAATAAAAGTGAAATTATTTTTGAAAAATATATACTTTAAAAGAATAATACTTTAAAAGACATTTAAAAACGTCTTTTTAAAGTATCTTTTTATTAAATGGTCTGTACACTTACAAAGTTCTCAAAGCTTCGTTTTGCATGTATGGAGCCTCATTATCTTACTGTGTTAGTGTGGGGCTATTTTGAGCCTTGTTAGTGGTATAAACTAGCGATTTCTTTTTACTTAGTAAATGCCCCCAGTACTAGCATTATACGCTAAACAGATTTTAGAGATGAAACACTTTACATTCGATTATCATGAAAACAAATCTCAGAGAACGGTTAACTAGGTACAGATGTTTTATTAGACCAAAGGTTCATTTTGCGCCAGAGTTCTCCTTTAAGTATTTTATGCTCTTTGTTCAAAAACACACTAAAACAATAACATTGTGAAATATTATAATTTAGTGTTTTAATGTATTATTAATGTGCTATCATGATTTCTATTTTAATATATTTTAAAATGTAATTTATTCCTGTGATGCAAAACTACATTTTCAGTATCAGTACTCCAGTCTTCAGTGTTACATGATCCTTCAGAAATCATTCTAATTTGATGATTTGAAGCGCAAGAAACATTTCTTACTATTATCAATGTTGAAAACAGTTGTGCCACTTCATATTTTCTCAGGATTCTTTGATGAATAGAAAGTTCAAAATAAGAGTTTATTTGAATAGAGATATTTTGTATTATAGACCATTTTGCGAGATGTAAACAACACCGGTCCACAAGCACTTCCTGTTTCAGTTTTTTTAACACTACATAAACGTTGGAATGAAATACAACCAACAGAACATTTACAACTGAATCAAAAAGTTAAACACACATCTTTAAGATGTTTTCTTTCTGAAACAGGAAGTGTAGTTTACGTCTTGCAAAAATGTTCTATAAATGCCTTGTATAATACATTTAATTTACAGGTTAATTGTACTGATCCCAAACCTTTGAAGAGTAATGTGTCAATTTTATTTATTTTTTATATTTATATATATTTTTTAGTCATGATTTAAAAAAACAATGTGTTGAGCACACCTCAACAATCTGCATAATGTAGTGCCTCATTTATATCCATACCACAAACTAAGTATAGGAGCCATGTTTACAGCCTCTGAGGAGCACTGAAACCTCTCTCAGCATCAGCTGAGGACACTGGGACAACGAGATGATGCAGTCTTGACAGTGTTTCCACCGATTCAAAGATGACACAGATGTGTAGCAACATCGCTGAAGAAAGCCTCCATCACGCTTTCACCTTTTTGTCAGTTATATTTATAGGGAATGCCTTGTGTAGTTGCACCACAACATTACTATTCCTTATCATATAAAACCTTTCCTCCCAAATTGGTCTCTAGAGTGCCTAGTGGGGATGCACAAACCGAACCAGTTAAATGTTAATAAGAATTGTAAATGTGCAGAAACAAAAGAGACAGAGAGTGCACATTAGAGCCCTGCGAGGAAGTGTTTTTTCAATCCCGCTGCTGCTGAATTTCTGACCATTACCGCCCGCCCACGCCCGCAATATTTGTGTCCACCCCCGCTCCCTTATGAAAAAATTTGACAAACTTCGGGACTAACACGTTCAGAGGAGCAGCAGACATAAAACTTTGTGTTTGCCCTTCTTTGGTTATAACCACAAAAGCAGAATTTAATTTCATGCTCGCGCTCATTCATTCAATGGCTGTGAGAATAGCGACCAGCATCACATTTTTCAAAAAGACACAAAGGTATCACATAATGATCCTATAAGATACGTGCCGTGAATTTTAAGTGTTCTGGGGGTAAACGATATGAAATTCATTGTAACGAAGCAGTTCATTACTGTTTTTGCACATCAACTGTCATTCTGACTGTGATTCTTACAAAAGCAATTCCTGTCCGAAGATATACCCAACTACTCTGTGAAGAAAGTTCCTTGATACTTTTTTGGAAAGATTTCTATGCGTTGTATTTGTATTTACCATACAAATGAATGACATGAATGAATAACTTGGCCTAGCCTACTACATAATTCTATGGAGAAAGAACTAGTTGACATATACCTATACCGGGGTTATTTTTGTTGACCACCCGTTGCCCAAAAAAAAAAAAAGCCCGCTCCCGCGAGATTTGCAGGAGCTAAATCCCAATGTAGCCCTTTAGTGCACTTTCTGTGTTCAACACTGATAACAATAAGAAATGTTTCTTTTGCACCAATCAATCATATTAGAATGATTTCTGAAGGATCATGTCACACTGAAGACAGGAGTAATGATGCTGAAAATTAATTTTTTGCCATCACAGGAATAAATTACATTTTAAAATATATTAAAAAAGAACATAGTTAATTTAAATTGTAATAATATTTTACAATGTGGCTTTGACTTTCAACCAGTTTGTATATTGGTTTGATGTTCTCCGTCTCTTCTTATGTTGCAGGTGGGGCCTTTAAGTCTTCTGGCCATGGGAATAGTGGCTATACATTGCATGAACCTCCTTGTGAAATGTGCACATCATCTAAGTGTAAAGTAAGAATAAACAGCTTGAATGATTTTAGAAATACTGCCCCTCATGTTCTTGACAGATTTTCTAACACACGACACCCTTTTTTTATTATTATATCATGCTGGATTTGAGTTTTGTTTTGTTATCATTTGCATCTGGCCAAAGAGTTTGATCATATTTTTAAAAGCCTCATATAGTCAGTGTTAAAGGTATAGTTCACCCAAAAAATGTAAAACCTGCAGTTGACGGTAATCATCGACTTCCATAGTATTTTTGTTTCCTACTATGGAAGTCAATTGCTACCGTCAACTGTCCAGTTATCAACATTCTCCAAAATATCTTTCTTTGTGTTCAAAAGAGGAAAGAAACTCACACAGGTTTGGAACAACTCGAGGTTGAGTAAATTGTGACAATTTTCATATTGGGGTGAACTATCCCTTTAAACACGACTCTACCACCCCACCCATATACTATATATATATATATATATATATATATATATATATATATATATATATATATATATAGGGCTGTGACTTGAATTCATGAGTCTGATTAGTTAATTAATGAATCCATGGTTTAATAATTACATTTTGGTGTTTGTTTAGGATCATTTTTATTAGAATAAAATATTTTAGTTTTGTTTTGTCATACAATTCTTTTCATTTTTCTAAATGAAATATTGTCTTTATTTAGGATGGGCAAGCCCTTTCTTTCCTATGGAGATGCAGTGGAGCATGGCATGGAGAACGTGCCATGGCTGAGCAGACACTCTGTGTGGGGAAGGTAACTGAACGGCTTTGTTTCAGTGCTTACGAGGCAGTTTTTATTTTTAATTCAGAGTAGACTGTTAAAGTTGACGTGCAGTTTGTGCTGTTCTCACCATAATCTTTGACCACTTGTCACTTGTGACTCTTTTAGATCCTGGTTTATGAGCAACGTCACCGTTTCACATTTTTGCACATGATAGCATATATAGTAATCTAAACTGCTGTTCAAATGGTTGTCAGTAAGATTTTAAAAATGTTTATTGAAGAAGTCTCTTATGCTCACCAAGGCTCCATTTTACCGGTAATATTGTGAAATTATTACGTTTTCTATCTGAATACATCTTAAGATGTAATTTATTCCTGTGATGACAAAGCTGAATTTTCAGCATAATTTCTCCAGTCTTCAGTGTCACATGATTCTTTAGGAAGTAGGCTTGATTTGCTGATCATGAAACATTTTCAATGCTGAAAACAAGTGCTGCTTAAAATTTGTGTTAAAACCTTTGATGAATAGAAAGTTCAAAACTTTTAAATAACATAAATGTCATTACTGTCACTTTTGATAATCTGTATGCATCTCTCCTCAATAAAAGTATTAATTTCTGTCACAAAAAAAGAAGAAGAAAAAGAATATTTTAAACATTTGAACAGTAGTGTGTGCTTGTCTAAATAAAGTTGTGACATTTAGATTACTAAAAAAAAAAAAAAAAAAAAAAGTTAGACCTGCACTTGAACATAATGATTTATTTTGTTTTTCGGCTTTCAGGCGTGTGGTAAATATGTTCCTCAACTTAACCCAGCTGGGCTTCTGCTGCGTGTACTTTGTGTTCCTTAGTGACAATGTCAAACAGGTGAGAGATCTTTAAATACAGAAGAAGAGACATTTTCCAGATTTTAATAAAGATTTTAGTCCACAATAAAATAATAAACTTTAAAATCACATAGCATAATTACTATATTATAATATCATATGTCATTGGTTTTATTTGTGTAGAATGTATAAACTGCTAAAAATATTACCCCTAAATGGATTGTCTCTTTGGATAAAAGCTTATTTAAGACAACTTACTTAAGACAAATTTATCAAACGCTGTGACTGATTTTGTTTTCACCACAAGAGGGCAGCATTGCCTTTCACTTCATTTGGATAAACCACCTGGGTTTGCTTCTCCCCAACAAAAAAGATGTTCTTCCTTTCTTTATTTTTGAACCTACAAGTGTAAAATTCTCTCAGTACAAGTTCATATTGTTATTAACACAATGTAATCTTTCCATTGTAGGTGGTTGAGACTGCCAATGCGACAACAGTGAACTGTCACAACAACGAGACAGCAGTGACTGTCCCCAGCTACGACTCTCGCCTCTACATGCTCTTCTTCCTTCCCTTCATCATCGTGTTGGTGTTTATCCGCAACCTCAAGTACTTGGCTCCTCTGTCGTTTGTAGCAAACATTTCCATGTGTGTCAGCCTGGTCCTCATATACTACTACTGTCTGACGGTAAGACACATTAAACATGCAACACACACTCAGAGAAATAAGTTGAAAGTGTATCTTTGTTGCATACATTGCTTCATTATTGTAAATAGTGTCATGTATGATACATCAGCCCACAATACAAGTGAGCAGTTCAAAAATGATTTGAACACTTATGCCACACTAGGAATATAATTGCATTATAAAACAAAGTATTAATCAAATTGCCATTTATTTTAGACACATTTATAGCACAGATGCACTTTTTAGGCAAAGACATTTTTTACAAAGTCTAGTCACACTTTTTTAGTTGTCTTCAGCTTCATGAAATATTTTACTGTATAAAACTTTACTTGAAGGGGTGTGCATAAGACTGACATGACACCTTCATAATCATGACATGACACATTATGCATGTTTATGACAGTTATTAAGTGTCATTAAGCGTTAATTCTCCCAATTTTGACATTTTTAATGCAAATATGACTTGTTTGAGGTGTGTTTGTTTAGACAACTTGACAAACCAATACATCGTCATTGTCTTTATCGTGACAACTTGACATGATGGAGACAACACAACCTCTCATAAATATGTCATAAACATGACATAGCAGATTAATTAAGAAGCCACTAAGCTTTATGGGTTAACGTTACATTAAACTAGCTGGTGGTTGGTTTTGACATTGGCTGTCATGAAGCCATTATATCATTTTAATGACAAATTCTGTTTGTACCACTGTAGTTGAGGTCATGAAAAATATTCATCACGCAGTTATAATGGCCTCATGACAGCCAATGTCAAAGCCAACCATGTGACAATTAGACTTCCTCGTTTGTTTAATTTTTTTTTTTTTTTTTTTGGCAAATGAAAAGGCCTTGAAGGAAATAGCAAACTTATTTGAAAAAAGTGACTCTGATATTTTGCTGTACATATAATAGTGAAGCTACTTTATTAATAACATGTTTTACTTAATCAGATATTCACGTAACTAGTAAAGTTTAACAAAATAATAAAGAGTTACTTTTTCAAGTGCATTGTATCAAATGATTAATTTAAATGTTACCACATAGTAACACCTGAAATAATACAATAGATCCTCTGCTTCAAGCAATTTGCAGGACCAAGCCTTCTTCCCTGTGATGCTGATTCAGGCTCAGGTGTTATGGATGTAGAGTTGAGTGTAAATGACAGGTGTCCGGGTTGTTTTTCAGAGCCCATTTCCTATTGAACCGCTTTAAATGCTTTAAATCGTACCCTCACGCCTGTAATTGTCAAGGCAGCTACTGAGAAATGAGCAAGTAGGAAACACAATTTCTCAGAGAGGGAAGAAAGATTGTCTTGGTGGAAACAACAAGAGGAAGTTGAATAGCTGAAGATTGCAATTTGGTGTGTTGTTTGCAAAAACATTTTTTTTTTCCTTTTTTTTTTTTTGTGAAGAATCAGGGGTTTCAAGAATTCTTACTATTGTTCCTCTAGATGCTTCTTGAACCTGAACTGCAAATCATAAGATCAGATGATTTTATTTGCATTACATTTATGCTCTAAAACATTATTTAAAATTATAATTTAAAACCAGTGTCCTGGATTATACAAAAGTCTAAGACTTTGTTAATCTAAATCATATCATCATATACTGTAGTCAGAGAGGTTAACAGTTTTAAACCCACGTTTGAGTTTTAATGTATAATTAATAAGAAATATTTAATATAACTATTTAACCATATATTTGTTCAATTAAATTGAATAAAAATAAAAAAAATAAAAACTTGCATTTAAATTGATCAAAAGTGATGGCAAAGACATTTATAATGTTGCAAAAGATTTTGATTTCAAATATAACTGTAAATTCTGTTCTTTTGAACTTTCTATTTATTAAAGTATCACAAACAAATTGTTTTCAACATTGAAAATAATAAGAAGACTGCAATGATGGTGAAAATTCAGCTATGCCATCACAGGAATACATATACATATACAGTATATTACATATATATATATATATATATATATATATATATAAAATGTATCTATTTTTTTAATAGAGAAGAGGTAGTTGAAATTGATTAAAAATACAGCAATTTTGTGAATTTTTCAAATCTAAATAAATCTAACTTTGGTGAGCATAATGTACTTAAATTAACTTTGTACGATGCTAAGTGTATATAAGCATACTTAATTATCAATACTCAAACCAGCAGCATTTTCTTGGTCTCAGGCTATTGGACCTCACTATATATTCATGTAAACATTTTTGAAATAATCTGAATGTCACAGATTTCCAGACATGTTTTTTTTTTTTTTTTTCTTGGATCATCAGAATATTCCATACCCCATCAACCTCCCGCTGGCCGGACGGGCAGTTGACTATCCTCTCTTCTTTGGAACGGCAATATTCGCCTTTGAGGGAATTGGAGTTGTAAGTTGTTGTTTGTTTTTCTTTTTTTGCTCAGATTTCTTGTTTATCACCAAAGAAGTATTATTCAGGTAAAGAATGTTCAATTCAAAAAGATGTCTTTCTCGATCTTCATCATTTACAGGTGCTACCACTTGAGAATAAGATGCAGAATCCCAGAAAGTTCCCCATGGTTCTGTACCTTGGCATGGGCATCGTCACCACCCTCTACATCTCCCTGGGCACCATCGGCTACATTGGCTTTGGAGAGCAAATTCGGGGCAGCATCACGTTAAACTTACCATTGTGCTGGTGAGTGCCAGGGAATCATTAATGTGTATTGTCTTCTAGTCCAATACAGTTCTAGACACATCAAATGGATCAAAAGTGACAGTAAAGATGCTTTTTTTTTTAAATAGTATAGATGCTTTTTTTCACCAAGGATGCATTCAATTTTCTATTTTAAATAAATGCTGTTCTTTTGAACTTTCTATTCAACACAGAATCCTGAAAAAAAAAAAAAATGTTTTCACAAAAATATTAAACGGCATAACTGTTTTCTACTGGAAATAGAATTTAAAAAATAAGAAATGTTTCTTCAAACATCATATTAGAATGATTCCTGATGGATCATGTGACACTGAAGACTAGAGTAATGATCCTGAATATTTAGCTTTGCCATCAGAGGAATAAATTACCTTTTAAAATGTTTACAAATTGTAATAATATTCATATTGCTGTGTTTTTGATCAAATAAATGCAGCCTTGATGAGCATAAGATACTTTTTTCAAAAGCTTGATTTAAAAAAAAAAAAAAAATCATACTTACCCTGAACTTTTGAAAGGTAGTTTGACATAAAAGTCTGTAGAAATAAAAAATGCATGTAACGTGTGTCTGTTCTGTAGGCTATATCAGGTCGTGAAGCTGCTTTACTCTTTCGGGATCTACATCACCTACGCTCTGCAGTTCTACGTGTCAGCAGAAATCCTGATCCCGCCGGCGGTGGCGCGCTGCGGTCCCAGGTGGGCGGTGATGGTGGACCTCAGCATCCGCGTGGCTCTTGTAGGCCTCACATGTGAGTCATGCTGCAACAGAAACACCTTGACACACCACTTCACTCCATCAGCCAAATCTATGAACCATTGGGCCGCTTGCGTCAAGAGTCAGGAGCGTTATCGACGGCTCATTTGCTTAGGCACATTTCAAACGTCACCCTTTTCACCGTGACTCAAGGTCGTTCAGGCACGTCACGGGGCATTTGTCATTGTTAGATGAAGTCTATTTTTACCTTTTGTCACTTTTTCTGAAGTAAGCCAAACCTTGAACACAACACTGCCCTACAAAGGCAAAATACCTTAAAGGCACACTTCACTCATTTGCATTAAACTTTGTATCTTTAGAAACCCAGTCATATTTCTGAACGGTCATGGTTTATTCCCTTATTTTCCCCTGAGATGGGAGAAATAAGGATTTAAGTGTTTTACTTCCTGCTTATTATGATAAAAATCGTCATTTTGCGTCATAATAAGCAGGAAGTCATATTTCATTAAAATGTGTATAGACTACAAACATTAGCTCATTATTATTCCAGGGTGTGGGACCCACTCACCCTACAAGCCTATTATAGATCAGTGGGTGGGACTTGCAGATACTGAATCAATATCAGCCATCTTGTTTGGAAGCTAAGCTAACAAGCGCTGTGGAGATATGAAGTTATGATAATGATGGAAGAAACTAAACATGATATTGAAGAAGAAGATTTTGAAATTCTGCTGCTCGAATCCGATGTTCGTGGCTGTCTTTACGAGCTGCAATATAGTGAAGAGAAGCTGAGGCTGATGGAGGAACAGGAGGCGGCTGCCTGTCACGGTCGAGGAGCCCGAACTGGCTCGAGCTGGGCGGACTGTTGGTGTATGTGCTCTCGCTGTGAACTACGAGCAGAGATAGAGTCCGTCTGCTGCAGAGAATTTCAACGATGGCAATTTCTCCTTGACGAAATCTCTGAATCAGACGAGCACACGGACGTTTGTGTTGTGATGTGAACCATCCTAGTTTGAACTTTGTTGTTGTGGGAAGGAGGCGGGAACCGGGAGGCAGGAATTTCAAACTCTGGTGACTAATGTTAGCCTTGTAGACGGAAGAGTGATTTCTTCTCATTTCTGTGTGCGCTGTTCCGGATTAGTGGGTGTGGCTTGTGAAGTTGTACAATGTGGTGCATTGTGGGGGTTGTTGTCTTACATACAAAGGCGCCCCTTGGTTATTTTCTTTTTCTCGGTCAAGAGGGCACCAAATTCAAAAATTCTTTTACATTTCGGCTACATATATGATCCACTTTCAATAAAGATTAATGTTGAAATTGGTGAAATGCTCCTTTAACTTTCTAGAGTGTGGAACTGAGAAAAAGGACTTTTAGTTGTCCAGCCAAAATAATTATAGGCAGGACACTGGAAATGAGTAGATTTAGTTATGAAAACGATCTACATAAATAAATCTTTGAGTTCAAACTTGATTTTTGACTACTTTTTAATTATTATACTTTTTAACCACTTTTTTGTATTGTCTGCAAGCGAGGAGTCACACCAAGGCAAACTCCAGTAAATTCCTTTGCTTTGTTATATAGAGCTGTTTGGTAGCCTATTCATCATAGTTGGCTAGCCTATTTATGCTATTGGCTGCTAGCTAAATTAAGTAGATTGTGATCTCTCATTTGCTTGTCTAATGCATACTTTGTGTTACTTAACCTTGATGTCTGCGTTTCAAAGCCATCTCAACTATTATTTTTCTTTAAGAGCAATAGGCTATCCTTAAATGATATTAGTAAAAAAAAACCGCCACTTAACTATTTGCTTTACCTACACTTTTATTCAGGTATCGTGTGTCAGAAGTGCTTCAGTGACAGATGGCACAGGCTACATCGTAATTTAAACACAGCAAACTTTAATGGACAGTAAAGCAAAGGCAGAATTCAATAACTCCAGAATTGCAAACGGTTAAACAATAGCAGAGAACTCGAACTCAAAGACAACCCATTATTTTCTCGAAAAAAAACCAACAGAATTGACTCAAGATGCTTATTCACATGATAAAGGATATCTTGAATGTCCCAAAAAATATCAATAACTAATTTTCGACCAAAAATGAACTGTTGATTACTGCCTTTTTTGCCTTTGTAGGGCAGAACAGAGAATGTTTTCGGCATGTGACTCAGCCTTGTGATAGATGTTCGGATATAGTGCTGAAATTAAATGAGTTCTGTGTTTTGGTTGAACAATGTAGGAGTGTTGAAGAAGGTGGTCGGGTACTTCAGTGGACCTGAAAGCGTGCCTCTTTTTCTATTTTTTTTCCCTCCGGGGTTAGTGTTTTTTTTTAGGAGTTGTATTGATTTCCTTTGAAACCCGAGGTTGTTAATTCCTGTTTGACACGTGAAGTGGCCGTTCTGCTCTGACAGTGTTTTCTTCACTAGGAGGCAGTTTTGAACACTGCTTCCACTTATATGAGCAGCCTGTTAATCTTAAAGGGATAGTTCACCCAAAAATGAAAATTCTGTCAGTATTTACTCACCCTCATGTTGTTTCAACCCTGTAAGACCTTCGTTCATCTTCGGAACATGAATTAACATATTTTTAATGAAATCTGAGAGTTGGATCACTCCTCCATAGGCTTCTTGATTGATTGAAATTTGCCGGCCTCTGAAAGTTATTAAAGACATTGTTAAAATAGTCCAAGTGACAACAGTGGCTCAATCTTAACTTTATCAAGCGACAAGAATACTTTTTTGTGCGCAAAAACAAACCTGAATAACAACTTTATTTCAACTATGAATTTTCTTCTCTCTGTTGTATGTCACACACATGACCATTGTTGGCCAATAGTGAGCCTACGTGTGACTAGAGGCCCAAAGAGAAGAAATTAGTTGAAAAAGTCTATTTTTGCGCACAAAAAGTATTCTCGTCACTTGATAAAGTTAAGATTGTGCCGCTGTAGTAGTCACAAAATAGTCACTTGGACTATTTTAACGATGTCTTCAATAACTTTTTGAGGCCGGCAAGTTTCAATCCCTCAAGAAGCCTATGGACTAGTATGGAGGAGTGATCAAACACTCCAATTTCATGTTAATTCCTGTTCCGAAGATGAACGAAGGTCTTACAGTGTCGGAACAACATGAGGGTGAGTAAATACTGACAGAATTTTCATTTTTGGGTGAACTATCCCTTTAATATTCTTTAATTTGTCTCAAGTGTCACATGGGAAACAAACATGTAGGCTACTTCTTAATGCATTTTTTTTTTCAAATATTTGTCAAATCAAACAAAATAAAAGCTGAATAAACTTGTTAAAATCAGGGGTGTATTCTAGCAGGTTAATAATAGGGTGTAAGGCCTGTGATAATGGGTTGTTCAGCTTTCTGAATATTAATCACACAGGATGTGAGTATGAGGTGAAGATACTGTCAAAGCACCTTCACACAGGTCATAATGCTTTGCGCCGGGCAGTTACAAATGGGCATGTCCAGGAGCACCTAATCAAAGCTTGTGCTGACTGCGGTCTGTTGACATTTCTCAGAATGATATTTTGAGAGATGATATATTTTCAAATGGTCTACAGCTTCCAGACATTTTTAGCTGTTCATCATGCCCTCCATTTGAAAGTCACTGACTTCGGGTCAAGGTTGTGTAGCCGACAAATATATTTGTGCTTGACATGGTTAAGTTGACAGTCCTTCCTGTCACAGCTGTCGTAATGTGTACGTCTGTCTGATTTTTTTTTTTTTTATCACTGCAAAAAAGAACGTCATAATCTGTATTTTTGTCTTGTTTCCTTTTGAAGGGACAACTTAATCCAAGATGTATTTGCTGATACAAGTATTAATATGCAATTTTTCCTTGTTTTTAAAGGGGTGGTTGTATTCATGGTTTTTCTTTTTTTTAAAGTCTTATTTTTCATAAATTTCGTCTTTATTGTAAGCCCCTTCTCCTCTGTCATTTGAACGAGTGGTTGACTTCCTGAGTCTATGAAACCACTCCCTCAGAAATAGGCAGTGGGTTCAGATTGGTTAGTTTGGGCCGGTGTGTCGTGATTGGCTAAACTGTAGTGCACGTTGTCCGGAAACTTAACACCCATTTTACGGGCGAAAATTGCATGTGTTCCTGTCAAATGTAAATAATGGTGTCGATACTGCAGTATCATTCTCTGGTATGAGCCAGAATCAGACCCAGAAAGCAGTGGAGAGAGTCAAGCAGAACCTCACCACACACGGCTCTTACAAAATGTTTCTGAATGATAATTTGCCTATATATATATATATATATATATATATATATATATATTTTTTTTTTTTTTTTTTTTTTACACAATAGCATCAAACTAACTGGCTACTATATACACAAACATCGTTGGCATTGGTTTACGTTCTTGATCAAATCGAAAAATAACGTCATAAAGTATATATACATGAAAAATGCATTTACATTACATACATTTACATACAAAAATACATTTAAATTAGTACATATACAAATTCCGGTCCAAAATGTTTGTACTTGTTTGTCAGAGACACAAAATAGCATAACTAAGTGGCTATAATGCCAGCGCTGGCATTTGATAAAACTAAAACACAAGGCTACGTCTGAAATTATACATTCAAATACATTTAAAAAGATTAAGTCTTAGCCTACTTACAGGTTGTGGACCAACAACTTCTGCCTCTGGTTTTAAAGTTGGAACTGCTTCATGTTTTAGTAACAGTTTCTTGTTGAATCCGGTGTTGAATTCGTGGAGATTCTGGAAGCTGTCTTCCGTAAAACGCGCAGCACAGAGAGCTAGATTACGATCGTCATTTTCAGGAACATAATCAAACATAAATTGAATACATTGTTGACGAAGTACAACGTCCGTGGAAAGCCCGAACAAAGAAGACCTGACAGCTGGATGAACATAACACACTTTCTACGAGCCTTTTTTTGCATATTCCGGAAGGGGGGGTTAATGAAAATGTGTGGGTTAGTGACATCTAAAACATGTTGTAGTCCCAATCGAGTCGTTTTTGTAGGCATTAAACTTCCTGATTTTTAAAAG